CACACTCACATGCACACACACACTCACACCTACACCACAGACACACATACACAAACATACATACACACAGACACACACATACACAGACACACATACACAAACACACACACAAACACATACAATAACACATACACACACACATTCTCGTTTATCAGTGTTTACTGTGTATTTTCCTGGATTTATGCAAAATGAAACGGCAAGAACAAATTTCTCAATACCGTACACAGGCACACACACACGTCATACACACACACTCATAGACACATATACACAAGCACACACACACATACATACACACAAACACAAACACACACATACACATACATACATACACAGACACACATACACAAACACACACACACACACATACAATAACACATACACACACACACAAACACACACACACACACACACACACAAACACACACACATTCTCGTTTATCAGTGTTTACTGTGTATTCTCCTGGATTTATACAAAATGTAAACGGCAAGAACAAATGAGGAGATTCCGATTTGATGTGAAGCTGTCTCATGAACGTCGACATCCATGGCGTTGAACACCTGCTCCCGTACTGTCCGCAGTGGCCTGGTTATGACGTCCACGACAACTGCTACCCTACGTCATTAACATGAATATATCCCAGTCTCACAGTCGTGGAGTACAGCCAGAGATCCTGACCAGACAACCTGAGTATAAGGGCTTGGGTCATTCACTCCACGAAGAACGGATTTGAACAATGTTGCAGCGTATTCTTCGAGAAGCCCACTGTTGTATAGCATGGGTGAAACAATACATTGGTGCACCGGTTTACATGTGACAATACTATACACCATTCGTCACCACTCGCCCCTTTCCGTAGCCTATTCGGCTTGTCCCGGAATAACACGAGTTGGGTCACGAATGTACTATACACGATACGTTTTTTTCTGTATGGACACAGCCGTTACGAACATGTGTCATCAGCTACCTTTGCCGTTTTGAACCTGCTCTGAAATATTAAAAGTCAAAAAGATTCCATGCAGTTTGATATAGATATGCACATTGTGATACGCATCGTATCGTGGCCAATGCATCGTCATACTATCGTACCGTGACGTTGCTGTATCGTTTCACACCTGTTGTATAGGTGACCCACTGGGGATTCCGGGTTGGAATAGGTCCCTGCAGCCAGTGCGTGACGTAAGAGCGACTTTGTGGATCGGGTGGTCAGACTCGATGACCGGGTTGAATGCGTGCATGTAGTAAGCTCATTGCGTGTAAAGCCTTATAGTTTGAGCCATTGCAATGTTGCTGAAAAATATTCTCTCACCATTCCTTTGCAATATAGATTAAATAGATTTATATAGATATTAAGTGAGCCTTTCATTCAGACTTCTTAAATTTATTATTTTCACTGAAAACAATCACAGGTTTGGTAAAAAAGTTCCAGATGGACCACGGTTCACAAAGACATCGTAGCCTATGTCTAATAGTATGTTAAAATATTGGCGTTACGGCAGTCGTAGCTTTTTGGAAACGGGCCGCAGGAATTTGTTCGATCCTTTCAGAGCACGAGAGGTCTAGTCGACTATTAAAGGTACCACAATTCGCTATGAAGAGTTGTGTCCCTTGGGCACGCCAGAAACCCGATCGTGGGTTCGAATCCCGGTTCGCCCCGATTAAGTTTCTAGGTTCGTCAGCACCATACCTGTGCTCGTGGGTTTCGCCGAAGTGGTAAACGTCTGAGACCTGCATCTCTTCGGGCTTTCCTCCCACTTGAAGCTGACAAGCCACGATATAACTGGAATGCTGTTCAAAGGCGTTAAACCCAACTCACTCACAAATGTAGGGAATAGTTCAGATGGCACAGTCTTGTCTGGAATGGCCAAACAGGTACCGTCTCCACATCATCCTTTGATTCGCACTTGCAATGTAAGGTAGTAGAATCTGTCAAATATGTGCTTCTGTGAGAATCTGCTCTTGCTAGTTCCCTGATGTTAACTATGAAAGTCAACACACTCTCGCATAAATACTGCATGGGTCAGTCAGAAACAGGGTCAAGAGGAGTTATACCCTGAGGGTAAATGTTGAGTACCGTATAAACAAAGTTGTGTTCCCTTTACAACGTCTTTTACCCAGTCGATATCGTGTCCATCAAATCCTGCCACTTCCCAACTCCCAGGTGGCCGTCAGGTGCCGCGCGCATGCGCAGACGGACCAACATGGCCGGAATTCTTCGGGATACCGGAGAGAGGATTCTGATATCATAAAACATCTTCTCTCCGCCTCTCCTTCCGCCGACGTCGAATTCGACATACCAGCCGTCCCTGGCGCCGTCGCTAATGAGGAGGCAGTCACGCCGCTGATCCTCAATACCAGAACCCTGGTGACTTGAATCTACGAGGTGTCATGGCTGACATTTAGAGTCAGCAGACAGAGACCATGTATTATATATATGTATGGTTCTGTGAGATGCAGATCTAGGGTCTTCTGGTGTGTGGCTGTGTGTGGCGGCTATGAGATATGCTGTACACTCAGACAACTTGAACTACTCGACATTCCCGCCACTAGGTCGCGAACTTCGCGGTATTTACGTAATGTGCTTGCATAGCATTGCGGAACTCACCTGTTCCTTGACACACGGTTCAATGCAAGTAATATAATAATACCATCTTCAGCATTCTGTACGTGTCCAGGAAACAGGTGGGGAGGAAGAATTCGAAGCTGAATCAGCAGATATAAATCGTTGAGAGGAACGCGCAGGTTCTCATGAACACCGTTCTGTCACTTACAATGTCCTCTAGGGGCGGTCGGGTAGCCTAGTGGTTAAAGCGTTCGCTAGTCACGCCGAAGACCCGGGTTAGATTCCCGACATGAGTACAATGTGTGAAGCCCATTTCTGGTGTCCCCCGCCGTGATATTGCTGGAATATTGCTAAAAACCAAACCCACTCACTTACTACAATTTCATCTCGAAAACAGAATAGAAACATACAGATTCTTCAAGCTCTTATGTACTCACGAACAACGAATAGTCACATACGGTTCTTTCGATCGCCATGTCCCCAGGACGGCCGAGTAGCAGCATACGGTACATTCGATCACTCGATCATGTCCTCACGAACATCGAACAGAAACTACGGTACATTCGATCACTCATGTCCTCACGAACATCGAACAGGAACTACGGTACATTCGATCACTCGATCATGTCCTCATGAACATCGAACAGAAACTACGGTACATACGAGCACTCATGCCCTCACGAACATCTAACAGAAACTACGGTACAGGCGATCACGCATGTCCTCACGAACATCGAACAGAAACTACGGTACATACGAGCACTCATGTCCTCACGAACATCTAACAGAAACTACGGTACATACGAGCACTCATGCCCTCACGAACATCTAACAGAAACTACGGTACATACGATCACTCATGTCCTCACGAACATCGAACAGAAACTACGGTACATACGAGCACTCATGCCCTCACGAACATCTAACAGAAACTACGGTACATTCGAGCACTCATGTCCTCACGAACATCGAACAGAAACTACGGTACAGGCGATCACGCATGTCCTCACGAACATCTAACAGAAACTACGGTACATACGAGCACTCATGTTCTCACGAACATCTAACAGAAACTACGGTACATACGAGCACCCATGTCCTCACGAACATCTAACAGAAACTACGGTACATACGAGCACCCATGTCCTCACGAACATCTAACAGAAACTACGGTACATACGAGCACCCATGTCCTCACGAACATCTAACAGAAACTACGGTACATACGAGCACCCATGTCCTCACGAACATCTAACAGAAACTACGGTACATACGAGCACCCATGTCCTCACGAACATCTAACAGAAACTACGGTACATACGAGCACCCATGTCCTCACGAACATCTAACAGAAACTACGGGACATACGAGCACCCATGTCCTCGAACCACCCACGAATAACAAAGTAACCACAACCGTTTCATTCGAACACGCCTGTCCACTCACGAACATCGAATAGTCTTGGTTGATGTATGTCATCGTATCCAAGTTGCGATGCTCATGATGTCAATCACTGGATTGTCTAGTCCAGACTCGATTATAAACATACTGCCGTCATATGGCTGCAACATTACTGAGTGCGGCGTTAAACAACAAACAAACAAACAAAACATCGATTAGAAAAATAGCCGTACCGCAGATCACCGGAGTGCTTCTTTCGATTCTCTCGGAAAGTCAACCATCCACGTACACTATTTTACAAATCACGATACCTTTTAACATACACCCTCACGAACGCCGACATTCGTGATCAACTCGTGTTATTCCGGCGTGTCACGGAAAGGGGCGAGTGGTGACAAATGGAACGCCGAATTACTACTTGCCATCAAGCGCTCATGCCTCACAAACACCTGATTGCTACTGCCGAAGCCTAAAATTATCCAGGCCTCATGAAGTCTATCAGACCAAACACACATCAGTAAACACACTTGTTACACACTAGTACATATGGTACATATATCCTCGCGTACACAGAACTGCTACTTTCAAAACCTATTAATACTCGTGCCGCCAGAAGCACCGGATTCCCGTTCTTACCTTCGAACACTCATACCCTCACAAACACTACATTGTTAATGCCCCTAGCGATAATAAACTAAATGTATACAGCTTGTTTTTCTTTGATATTTCCGAAGACTGAATGTGCTACCAATTTAGGTTAATTGGATCTACCTTCATTCTCCAGTATCCCGCGACTGTTGCAGTGTTGTTAGGGGCGATAGGGTAGCATAGTTGGTAAAGCGTTCGCGTCACGCCGAAAACCTGGGTTCGATTCCTCACACTGGTACAATGTGTGAAACCCATTTCTGGTGTCCCTGCCGTGATAATGCTGGAATATCGCTAAAAGCGGCGTAGAACCGTATAGACTGTTATTGCCAAGATAATACCGTATATCCTATTTACTTGTTTTATGTAAAAGACAAAACAAGACAAATGTGCTAAGAAAATGAAAAATGTTTATTTTTCTTCTTTGTTGAATACTTTCAGCCCTTATTTACATATTTAGAATATCAATATCTCAAGCTCCAAACTGAGGATTAAGTTTTTTATCATGGCATCCGGTGGATCCCGGAAGCTCGAACGTGTACTGACTTCCGCCTTGTACGGTGCTGCCATAGAAGCCTTTATCCCCAGACTTCATGCACGAGATCTTAGAGCTCTCCGGCCTCCCGACACATCTGGAGGTGGAACCAATACAGATGTTGGACAATAAACAACACGTGTCGATGTCCCCGAGTACAACATCGTGTGCTCAATTAAACTCAATGTGATGAAAATGTTTTATAGATGTTTTAGCATTTCATTGTGGATTTGGTAATGGCGTTTTCATATTGTTTGAACTTCTTAAAGAAATCTTACTTTTAACTATCAGTTATTAATCTGTCCATCGAAATATTACTTAAATTCATCTGAAATAATATACGAGGAATATCCGTCGTTATGTCGTTAAACAAAGGATTTTACAATAAAATAGTTCCAACACTTACCTGCAGTAGTCGTCGCGGCCGTCATTGTCGACGTCGCGCATGAACCACGTGTCTTTGTGACCGCTGTCAAAACCTAGCTTGGAGACATAATGGTGACCTTGACCTGAGCTTCCTGCTAGTGCACATGACAAGAATCTTCTCTTTCCACGTCCCAAAATTCTGGTGACGAGAAAATACATTCAATGAATGAGTGAGTTAATGTTTAACGTCGCATCGGAAATATCTCAGTCAGGATGAAATGAGTATATTCATATATATTTAATGCGTGTTGTTATGTCTCATATATACTACTCAAAAGAGGTTAAAGAATACACGATTTTTTTCATATGGCTGTAGTCAATCTGTCTGGACCAGATAACCCAGTGATTGAGATAATAAACATCGATCCACGCAATTGGGATACGATGACATGCATCAACCAAGTTAGCGAGACTGATCACCCGATCCCTTCAGTCGCCTCTTACGACAAGCAGAGTCGCCTTTTACGGCAAGCATGGGTTGCTGAAGACCTATTCTACCCCAAACCTTCATGGGTCTGCGATCAGATGAAAAAAATGGGTGTTCTTTATAACTTCTACTGAGTTTTATATATAAAAACTCGTGGATTGGTTGATCTACGCATGGTACAGCCTTGACTTTGCCTTACCAGAGGTTAGAACTGGTTTGCAAATGCATGTCTGTATCACGGATACACTGATATTTATCCGAGGGTCCAGCACTCTCAGAAAGGTTTGGCAAAAGAATTCGTTGGGATGGTACCATGTCCTAGTTGCGATGCGCAAGCTACGCTACAAGTCTGTGTAAGCTAGGTGCGTCGTCCACTTGCGCCATTGAGATATGAAAGACGGGGCCCAGCTTGTCCGTGTAGCGTAGCTTGCGTACAGCGCAACTAGGACATGGTACTAGTCTATGGAATCGCTGGTTACCTGCAGTAGTCGTTTGCTGCGCCGGTGCCCTGCACATCCGCCCAGCCGTGGTACAACTCCTCATCACCGAGCTCTATGACGTCATATCGTCTCTGAGGAATCTGACTGGTTGTCATTGATACCACTTCTACAGAGTATTCTTCGTTGTCGCCCACTTCCGTCTCCAGAGGTGCCAGACTGACCGGCTGCGAGTTTGGCCGCCGTATACTTCCGGTCACGCGCAGAGACACGTCCACAAGCTCCAGTTCACCAGAATCTGCGGCAGAAAGTCACATTATCAGACATACTAACTACGTCATTAACTATATAACTGTATACAGCTCATTTTACTTTTTTACTATTTGTCGGTGCCTCGGACATACGACCCCTCCCCACCCCAAACCCTGACGGGCTGACTAACAGACCTAAAACAATGATAATGTCCGACACCTTCTTTGGATTTCCGACCGCCTCCGTGGTCTAGTGGTAGAGCGTTCGCCCGGAGAGCGGAAGGTCCGGGGTTCGATCCCCGGCCGCGTCATACCAAAAGACGTTCAAAGATGGTACTTGTTGTTACCCTGTCTGGCGCTCAGCTTTAAGGGGATAAAACGGGGACTGGTCGGCTCGGAGTCAGTATATTGTGTCTGAGTGGGGTATTCATGTTAAACTGCGGCATGGTATCTCACTGAGCTAGCACTATAAATCGGCATCAGTCCGGACTAGTACAAGCAGCCACACACACGTGCATGCACGTCGCTATAAGTGCAATAATCCTGGACGCGACGTTAAACCCAATTTCACCTCACCTCTTTTGATTTCCGGGCTAAATAGATTCCAGCGTCTCATACTTTTCCTAGAGTGGACTAACACGAGATCAGCTGGTTATAATTGTACACTGTGGAATTGGTTACCAGCGGCTTAGATCGTTGCTCATGACATCAACCACTGGTTCAGCAGGCTCATAGTTCAGTTGGGAGAATGCTGGCCTTAGCAACAATCACTCACTCGCGCCATGACACCATCCTTCCACCCGACGACATGACAAGAGGTTAATTATGGTTTTGGTTCGTGCGTCAATTGTAATAATAAAGATATCATTTCTACTCCCTTTTTATATATTTCAATATGGCCTAGGATTCTAAACAGAAAGAATGTACTGAGGGTTACTCTCATATCCTATTCCAGTCATGTTATTTTAACGCAATGAGACAACTGTGTTAGTGTAGGGCTCCTAGCTTCTCTACACAGAAGACGCCATGCGCTGACTCTGATCGTAACTCATGACAAGTCAGGCAGGTAAAAAAATCTAATATTCGCAAGATATTTCTCAAGTTCGCAAAACAGTTTTAAACTTCGCAAGACGTTTTTAAACTTCGCAATATTCTTTTAAATCTCTCACGATCTATTTATAGTTGGCAAGAAAGCACTAAACCTATCATGCTAGTTTTGAAATTCGCAATATATGTTTAAACTGTGCTGTATTGTTTAAAGCGTCTCAAGATAGTTCCTAATATTTAATTATTAGTTTAGACTTCGCAAAATCCTGTAAACGTATCGGAAATTAAATACTTTACATTTCTCAAGATACTATTAAATGTCTCAAAATTCTAAAATTTAAAAGTCTCTTGCGAAGTTTAGAAATGTCTTGAAACGATCAAAATGATAGTTTAAAGTGGGTTTTGGTCTGTCCAGCGTGCCATAGTAACTTCATGAAGTTTTATGTGCACAAGAGGCCCCTGAGAAGCAGTCGAAGTGCATGCGGTTGGGTGATATGAGGCATATATCACAGCACGCGCGTGAACACTTGTGTTATTGCCGACTCGCCCAGATAGTTGCAAGTGGACACTGTCCAAACATTCCGCGCCGGGCCATTCATACCTAGACACATGCATCAGAAGTTTGTTGCGGGGTTTGGGAGTTTAGTAATGTAAAGGTCAGACGAGCGTGCGGCTCATTCTTTTACATGTTGATTGGCGGAAATACACACACATGTCAATATCACCACGTGTTCGAATGAAGTTGGTGTGCTGCTCTTATAGTAGACTAAAATTTAGTCTCTGAAATCCTATATTACACATGTCCTTCTTGACTCTAAAAATTAAAAAAATCCCTCTGCTGATTTCCTATGATTATGTGGAATAGAGATAGCTGGATCTGGCTCAGACTTGCTTTTGAATGCGTTTCTAGAAAAAGAAATTCATAAAATAAACATATTCCACAGTCATGGTGCAGGACTACTCTAATAGGTTTACCATGAACAGTGGACTTGAATTGAAAACATAAACGCAAATGTTTCATTAAATTGAGCTGGTATTTAACACTAAGTTAGACCAGTTTACCATTAACATAGGGAGTAAAAGAGTGTTAAATAGTTTTACGACGCTTTCAGCAAAATTCCAGCCATGTCATTACAGGGGACCAAAATGATATTCAGAAATTACATCTATTGGGAATCGTACACTGGTCTTTGGAATGACGAACCAACGCAAGTCTCGGTTAGACAATAATGGCATACACTCCATTGCCCACCCATGGACTCCTTGTGTAGCAGTATTGGGTTATATCACGATACCCGATATTGTGCTGTAGAGATATTCGAACCCGGATCCACTGCCGGGGGAAGGGAGTTAACTGACTGTAAAATTCCAATTCCACCCTTGCCGAACTTGGCTGCAATTATGGAGTTATATTTTGTCTGGACTAACTAGTCCACGCATAGTCCAATCAAAATCGCGAAACGAAATCGACATCCGGTTCGTAAACAACATGGATTTCAACGTGCAGATTTCGGTTGACTGCAGGATTTGTAAAAGATGTGTACCGTCAACTGGGCATCGACAGATGTTTTCCAAATCTTTTCATGTTTTTAATGAAGATGCTCATTGGATTTGATGCACTTCGCGAGGTAATATATATCTTGATCATCGATCAGATCGTCTTGAATGAGCGCCGCCATTTTGTTTAAAGCAAATGTAAGTGAAAGATGGAATCTGATTGATCAATAGGAGGGTCATAGAATAGAACTCGTAACAGCCACGCTACGATCAAGCCCAGAATTTCCAGCCTGGTTCGGCAAGGGTGGAAACTGGACTTTTAGAGTCAATTTACTCGCTTGCCTCGTGAAGATGGATCCACTTCGAGGCGAGCTGACTTGCGACTTCCTGGGCTAAGCACTGTTCCTTTAATTTTGCACTAGCTGGTAATGTGTCTTGATATCAATCTCATTAAAATCAGATCGAAGTTCTCGCTATTGCTAAACAAAGATCTGAGGACATCCCATTACGGGTCACGTTAGAGCGACCTTTCATCCGACCAATCAGAGCATCGCTTACCAGATCATGAAAGTGACAGTCGGAATGTGTTATCTAATCATGCAACCTCGAACTATTTAACACGGGGTATTCCGAACGACAGTTACGGGTTTTATGATTATATCCATACAATCTAGGCAATCTATAAGCCATTCCAGATTGTTCTTTTTATCAGTTTTAAACTGAATACGTCAAAATATGTTTCGAAGCGTTGTCACCAGTTTGAAACTAGTGTCGTAAAGCTCGAGAAAGCTGCTTTCTGATTGACTAATGTCGATTTCTTGTCAGTCATTTCATTGGTCAGTCAAAGTTCGCGAAAGGTCGTTCTGACGTGACCAGAAATGGGATGTCCTCAGATCTTTGTTAAGCGGTAGCGAAAACTAAGATATGATTTTAATGAGATTGTCTTGATATTCGCTATCAAGTATTGCAGTTTCTTACTTATTTCGATCTTATTTATTTTTAATATACGTCGGACATTTCGAGGAGTATAAAGTGTTATTGTGCATAAAGCTGGAAGTTATCTTCTGTTCGGAGAACAAAATCTTCTTGGATGATTTTTGGAATGCTTTAGAAACATCAACATTTGGTGGGACAGATGGTTTTTTTTCGGCATGAACGCATCCATATAAACGTCTACGATGAGGTGGACAAACGCATGTTATGTTCTATTTCTGAACGTATCCGCGCCTTATCACAAGAACACCCATTGTAAGCTGAGTCGAGTAGCGGAGACCCAGGTTGTAAATACCTACCAAAAATTCTTATATATCTTGAAATAAACGTCTCGAAAAAACAAATCATGACTTCCAGTGAACATAAAACTGTAGACCAAATTAAGAAGGAAATGATGCACACAAAAAAACCTGTTACATTGAGGTGTCTTCCGATCGGCAAGGAATACCATTTTGATAAATACATTTATTATAAGAATGGCGGACTAGGTAATAGGGTGAACAAGGAGCAAGCTAATTCTGTTAAACATTTGGCACTCATTTGTTATATTTTACCTGATCCCTTGCCGTTACACCATCAACTATCCCCATGAAGATCCAGGTTAGAATAGGTCTTCGGCAACACATGCTTGTCGTAAGAGGCGACTAACGAGATCGGGTGGTCAGGCTCGTTGATGCATGTCATCGAATCCCAATTGCGTAAACTGATGCTCATGGTCTAAATCACTTGATTGTCTGGTCTAGACGTGATTTCATACAGACCGCCGTCACATAGCTGGAATATTGCTGAGTGCGGCTTTAAACAACAAACAAACAAACTAACTAACAAACAAACAACAAAGAAAAAACACCGTCGGTATTGAGGCTTTTCAGTCGTGGATACCATCATCATCCATGGCAGTCAGTTACATTTCTTAATGAATAAAATCTCGCCGTATCTTTGAGACCCTACAGCCTGACGCTAAGAAATAACACCTGACATTAGTTTACAAGCAGTAAATTTTGTATTTATCATTGAACGGATGTTATGTTAAATAGAAATTGGCTGCTAATTGCTTCCTCTCCCACACCACAGAATCAGCGACAGGCGTTCGGTCCGACAGACGGGGCTCAGATACACTGGCACATTAATGTACTTGGCTGGTCTAAGTTTTCACCAGTCTTTGAATTAGCATTTTGTTTTAATGATTTCTATTGCCCCGTGCGTTAAATTCAAACCAGATGCCCCTGAGCTGATAAGGGTAAATTGTTCAAAACTGTTACATACCAGCAGGTACGTTACCCCTAGCTGTGACGGCAAGAAACACGGACATTTGTCCAAATTAAAGCCAATATACCTTGATTGAAACAATGTCTAAGAAGCGTGTTTCACATTTATAGTATTCTCATTACTGCAGATCAGAATAGGGCCCGTATGTCTGACCGAGGTCAAGGGGCAAAGGTTAGGGGTCGGCGGCTTGAGGGCACATGTGTTTCAAGCAATGGAAACGGGATTCTAACTTAATTCGTTT